TGTTGGACCTGCGTCCTGAGTTTTAACTGTTTAAAACTCTTGTTGTTTCGGACCGCTGCGTCCTATATGTGTTTATCGTAACAGCGTTATAACCGGGTATTACTCTTCTGATCAGAAAGGCCAGTGTAAGCCGTATTAACCTGAATTCGGCTATTGGTTTGTTTCTGTGAATGAAGGGAATTACTCCGAGTTGTGGCGCGGGAGTCGGACTGTGATCCGGCCTCTTCAGGCACGCATTTCTCTTTTATTCTCTTTTATTTCCCCTTCTACGCACACACATACACACATATTCCTGTGTAAACGTACATCTGGAGACCAACTCCACCACCGCGCCATTACGCACAGAGATCTATACACTCGCGGCTATCCAGACGCCTCAGAGACACAGATTGTGTAGGGCCGAACTCAGTCTCTTTTAGACCTTAAGGCCACATTTAGGCCTTTGTTAGGTGTGTGCCATCGGAAGGGCGACCACGTGGGACGAAGTAATCTTCCCCCCCTTCTCTCTCCCTTTCATCCACACGTGCACACACCCAGGTCTTTGTTAGGTTTGCGCCATCGTGAACGACCACGAGGGTACGAAGCCATCTCCCCCCTTTCTTCTCTCTCTCTCTCTCTCTCTCTCTCACACACACACACACACACCTACATTCACACCTCATCCACAAGCCTTTGCTTGATAATGTTTGTTGCTTAGATTAGTTTATAATAGTTATTTGTTTAATTAAGTTCATTGATTTTGGATTGATGTTGCTTTGTTTAAATAAATTCTGTTATAATTTAAGAGAGCAGTTGTTTGTGATTACTGGTGTATTTGCATTGTGATATAAGCTGGGTGCGAAGGCTTTGTGTACGGATTTCACGCCTTCAATTTATTAAATATAGTTATTCATTATTAATAATATTAGTAATTAAATAACTAATTTGAGACTGATTTGAGTGATATTTTGGTTATATTTACCTGATTACAGGTTGGTGCCCCAAAACGAGATTAAACATAGTTTAATGATATTTTATTTATATTATTAATAATTAAGTATAATTATTAAAGAATATAACAAAAGTTGACTTGATACAACCCCAACAAATCCATTCAAATCAAAACTCAAAACTCACCTCTTTTCCCTGGCATTTAAAACAAGTTGAAACAGACCCCATATATTGAGCTTAGGTATGTATCTGTATGTATGCATGTGCATGTAGGTATGAGTGTATGTGTTTGTGACATGTATGTATACTACATGTATATATGTATGTGCATATATATATTTGTGTGTGTGTATTATGTATATGTATATGTGTTTATATATGTATGTATGTGCACATGTATAGATTAATGTTTTTATTTTTATTTCTTGCTTTTACACTTTGCCTGTAAAGCACTTTGGTCAGGTGAAGCTGTTTTTAAATGTGCAATACAAATAAACTTGATTTGATTTGATTCTCACTGCTGATCAACACCTGAGTTTATTGCAGACTGTATATAAGAAGTGAACGTAACCTCTGCATTTCAAAAGTGAAGCCAATCACGGGAGTAACTTGAACCTGCATTCTTTCTAATGACCAGCAGGGGGCAACTCCACTGGTGGCAAACAGAGAACTGGACTGTATGGAAGCAGTTAATAATGAACGAGCTCTGAGACAGAGAAAAGTTAAGATGACTAAGGACCCATGACTGACTGATTGTCTTTTCTTCATTTCATCTGAGGTGAGGTAGTTTGGGTTTTTCATTCAGATGATTTGTGTTTTATTGTTACATTCAACGGGATGAGGGGAGAAACAATAAAATAAAACCAAGGAGGAATTAAGTGTAAGAATAAGATATGACTCCGTACAGACTCGACCATCTTCTCAGATTCCACCATCAGATGATTTGGGAGCTGACTGTGCCCTGGGAAGATCACATGGAGGAGGCTTACGAGAGGAAGCTGGCCAAATACCGGGAGCTGGTGGAGCAGTGTAGAGAGGGCGAGGCTGGCGGGCTCTTTGTGAGCCGATTGAAGTGGGCTGTCGGGGGTTTGCTGGGCGCTCTATCTGCAAAGCTCTGGCAGGTCTTGGTGTAACAGGAACTGTGAAGAGTAGGGCCACTCGGTGGCTTTGGATAAAGAGGGCGAGCCCGTCGATTGCTGCTGCTGGGATGCAATGCTGGACTTGATCAACCCTGGATGGGTCACCTGGGGGGAGGGGGTCTGATGTTGAAAGACCTGAAACCCCAAATGACCTCAGGAACGTCACTAATGATGCATCCCAGCTCATCCTAGAGATGTATCTTACAAACTAATGTGAGGAAAAATAAGTAAGCAATAGATGATATGTGAGGCCTTGAAACTTAACATATCTCTAGATTTCAATACTGCTCAGTAAAACAGGAAATAAATCAGATCTTTAAATGTAATCTTTCCTTTAGTCCACAACACCTACTTATGGGAAGTCCCCCCCCCTATTCACTGTCCCTCACTTCAGATAAATACCTCTATAGGACTGTAAGAATAACAGAAATTAAACAGAACACTAAAAACTGTCTGAAAAGTCCACCACAAATAATGAAATGGAAAGAAACAATTAATGACGATTATAATATGGAGAGAATAACTCTTAGGAGAAGGAATTTAGGAAAAGTCTTTGAGTCACGATGGAAGAAGTTAACAAACACAGATTTAATATCGGGGGGGGGGGGGGTATTTAATTGTGTTGTTTGGTCGATTAATTAAATAAACGTATAAACACAAAATAAAAACGTAGTATATCTCTAGATTTATACAGACTTGTTTCTGACTCTGACGTTGATCCTTTGATGACGTCAGTAATGTAAGTTAGTTTCTGCACTTTGTTTTATTTGGGCGGCTGTGGCTCAGTGGTAGAGTCCGTTGTCTCCCAACAGGAAGGTCAGCGGTTCAATCCCCAGCTCCTGCAGCCACATGTGCAATGTGTCCTTGGGTAAGACACTTAACCCCAAGTTACTCCTGCTGATGTATTGGACTAAGCTTCTATAATTTATATCCATCATTGTTTGTAAACCACAGATATCCTTTGAATTTTAAACTACTAAAGATATCAAATATTAATGTAGCAATGCCACAGGTTTGTTACTTCAATCCACCTTATTCATCTTTGTTGTACAGTATTTCTATTAGAATCATGTTGTTTATGCCCTCTAGTGGTCACAGTCAGTAACTACAACATTACTACTATCAAGTCAGATGAAATCACAGTGTGTTACTTCCGGTCCCTGTCGTCAAAATAAAACATTTTTAAGATGCGCTTATGATCGTTATGTTAACAAAAAAACAATCCGAGTTATTTAAGTTCACATTCGTTGGAACATAACCAGTCAATCTTCACTTTTCTGCTCGTACTAAAAACATTGATTGTATTTTTTTATCCAAACAAATCAAATCTGTGTCGGACAAGATGTCATCAACAATTAGCTCTCTAGCTAGCAAAACTACAAGTAGGCCTACTGGAACTTTGTAGATAAATTGTGATTCGATGTAAACACAAGGATGTCGTAGGACTTTAGAAACAACTGAAGGTATCCCATAATTAATGTGAAATCATCAAAGCTTCCTTAGTTAACTTGAGAAGTCACTAACATGGGTAGCCGACGATTGAACGGTAAATAAATGAGAAGCACATTATTTATGACCTCTAGTGGTCACAGTGAGTAACTACAGCATCAATACTGTCAAGTCAAAATAAATTACATTGTACTACTTCCGGTCATCGCTGTTAAAATAAAATCATAGGGAAAGTAGAGAGAAGGAGATCATGTGAGATAATCAGTCAGTTAATCTCTTTTTCATTATAACCCCCTCCTAAGACATATTTTAAACAGCGAGCCCTTCCTCACGTCATTTTATTTTACATTAAAAATTCCTTCAAAATGTATATTTTTTTGCTTCTTTTAAAGATCTTTTAAATGAATGTTATGTAAAATGTTTGTTATTTATAATTGTTTGCCTTTACTTATGATTTTATGTCTAGACTGTTTTCCGTTTGTTTTATTATTGCTGTCCTTGTAAAACACTTTGTAGCTTGATTTTAAAAATTCTCCTATATATAGATGTTATTATTATTATTATAACATCATTATTACTATTTTTGAATCTTGTGTGATCACATGTAAAATAAATACATATATTTTTAGTGTGTGATCGTATGTTCACAGAGGCCTGATTATCTGATACATTTTTTATTGTAATAAATAAATGAGCTTATACTATCCCTGATCCAGAAATACAATGTATACTTTCCCCAAATTATTATTATTAAATATTTGACCCTCTCTCAGTCAACTCAATTCTTTCATACATGACGTGTTGATGATCACAGACAGTAAAAACAGAGAACTTTTACAGTTAATTCAAAGCTCTTGTTAAAGATTGTTTAAGGATAATTGTCCTCAATAGTTAAATAAATCCAAATACTCACAGCTTAAGTACAAACACTGTTTGCTTTGTTAATGATAATGCCATATGTGCTTTATTTATATTATAATTACGCTATGTATGACACAATGATTTACTGCGTCATCAATCTGTCAAGGTAGATGTTTATACAAAGAACAACTTCCGACTATCACTATCAAAATAAAAGTTTTGCACTTTGACCACAGGGGGGCAGTGTGTACTCACGGTTATACTTTTATCAACTCTGTTAAGAATAACCTCCTCAAGCTAGAAACAAGAACAAGACTATCGAGGAAGAGGAATACATCATTTCATACTTTTACCTCAAATTAATGGAGGTTGAGGCATTTTATCTCCCTCTTGATCAACAAAGTTTCTGCCGCTAATTCTAAACATCTATGCAAAGCTCACAGGAAAGTTTGTGTCCTCCTGAACAATTCACCAAAACTAGGAAGCCGTTGTTCATGCTGATTAATTAACTTTATAACCGAATTATAACAAAAGACTTTAATCTTTTTCTTCTATCAAACAGTGAAAGTTTGTAAAGGAACATTATCACATCGCCTTACAGCTCCCTCTTGTTAACGCTAGCTGCACTTTATGAAGGTAATGTTTGACGGAGTGAACAACACAACGCTTTAATCTATGGCCAATTAAGTTATAAAATATCTGTTGTCCAAGATAAAAATGTATTTAATGTTCATTTGAATCAACATCATGTATTCTGTCCGTGTAGCTGTTTTTAAATGTGTTTCTTGTTCTACATTGGCGTATTCAGTATCGTGCGCCATCTAGTGGCCTCAATGAAGAACTACACCCGCAGAGTCAAGTTAGATACACGTAGCGAAGAGATACTTCCGTTAAACCCTTTCAAAATAAACCTTGTATTAAAACGGAGGGATATTCCATCCTGTTCATACTGTGACTGTAATCTATGGTCAGTTTGATGAATAAAATGACAAAGCATTGTAATAGATGATTCCCTCCTCGCCTCCTTAGCTTTTAGTTAAACTCTGCTGGGCTCGTCATCAACCGGAACCGGAACACGTAACATTTTTCATCACTGGGCGCCATCTAGTGGACAACCCGAAAGCTACAACAACATAAGGGGGGGAAACATGATGGGAGTATGACGGCTGCCACACGGCTGATATCAAGGTTGACGCTGGTCACTGGTAAATATATGTTGTAAGATACATGGTGTTGTGTGAAGTGAGACGTTTAAGGACATGCCCTTTTCCCTTTTCAAGATGTTGCGTTCAAAGCCGTGTGTTTTTCTGCAATCTTCTTCAATTCACCAAATCAAAGCAGCTACCTACTGCAAGTAGCTTCTGATATCAAAAAGTTTGATCTCCAAAGTAAGCTGACAATGAATTCATTATTTTAGTGTAACCGTGATTCTATCAGTGATTTCTAAATCAGTACCTCGAGCAGATCGGACTGAATTAAGTTTGATGACTTGAAATGAGAGTGAAGGTGAAAGTGTAGCTGTCATTCTGGCTGTGTGTATGCTATCAATAAGACCTGCAACCATTTCAGAATGAAATGATCTGCCGTTGAATTGTGAAAATACTGAAAAAGGAAACATGTTTAAATGCCTCAGAGTTTAAATCTTTAAATGTCTGGTTTTGTCCGACTTAAGGTTCAAAACTGTAAAAAATGCAATACAGTGTGGATGCAGTGAGTGACTGAAAGGATACATGTATTATGAGAATTGTGGCTTATTAATTGTCTTCTTTGACTGATGGAATAAACATTAAAGCTGTATTATGAATGATGAAGCATCACTTGTCCTCTTACATTTTCACATAGAAAAGTGGACTCAAGGTTTTTGAAGACAGAAGAAAGAAAGAAATGTGATTGGGCGCAGATGATTTGTGAATAACAATTGGTCATGTAGCCCTGAACTGTTGGCTAATCAAACTGAAAATCAATCACATCAAGTCAGCTTCCTGTCCTGTGTGTTTTCTTGTCGTCCTTGATTGATATTTGTTTTTTCAGATACTTCCAGAGTGGATCTTCTGTCACACTCAGTCTTTCCTCTGCAGCGTTGTGTTTAAAACATTCTGTCACTCTGGTAACTTCATGCTACTCTTTTCCCTCCCAGGAGGAGGCAGTGGGATCGGACGGGCGGTATGTCAGCGTTTGGCCTCTGAGGGCGCCTCCGTGGTGGTGGCAGACATCAGCGAGGAGTCTGCCAACGAGAC